ATCTGCAGGTTTTATATTAACTGTCATATCTATAATTTATTAAAAAATTATCTATTTAAACACTTTAGTTTCTATATTGTATAGTTCTTGTATAATTAAATTCTATCTAACCTAATATAATATTTAGCTTTTCTTTTTGTATATTTGTTAAACTATTATTTAATTTTAAAGCATGTTATCTGATTGTAAAATTTAAGATACTTTTCTGTTAATTTATTTATATACTTTATAGACTATTAACAAAACTAACCTTTGCAGAGTTTATTCAGATCCTAGTATTTACTTTATAGCATATTCTTAGTACTTTTAATATACTTTAATCTTTTTTTCAAACTTTCAATTTAGATAGCTCAATAAAATTATAACCAGTTTATTGATATATTAGATTAGTCTAATATTTTTTTTTAATCCTTTTATTTAAAATTTTAACAGTATAATTAGTAATATTTCTACTTAAAAGTTTTTGTCTGTTTAGATACTTTATATTAGTATTTGTTTCTTAGATTTAGCTTTTATAATAATACTATTAAAGATCCATATTATTTTTTTATTTAGCCTTTTTTAAATAAGCTTTTTGTTTAAAAATTTTATGAATTTACACAGTTATAAGAACTTATTTTGAGTTTGTACTGCCTAATGCCAGTTTGTATTTCTCTATATAACCAGTTATACAGATATTTTATAATTTGCCAATCATGCTAATGTGATAATGATTACAAGTATCTTAATCTAATTATTAGAAATAGTTGCTATAATATAAATATTATATAAGTAATTATTCAAATTTTCATTATTAATAGATTTTGAATTTACAATTTACTACTTAGAAGATTAACAACTTATCAACTTACTAAGTTATTACATTTCTTAATTATAAAAGTTATTTTAAAATATTTTAAAAATATTTTTGTAAAATTTAAAAATTTTTTTAAAATATTTCAAAAATATTTTGCATATTACAAAACTTTTAAAAATTTTTTTGCATTATTTTAAAATTATTATAATATGTAAAATTTTTTAAAATATTTTATATTTATAAATTTGCTGATATTATATATAATTATAATAATTATAAATAATTTTGTTATTTAATTGTATTGTATTAAAAAAATTGAAAGTTTGTAATAATATAATTTAACTAATAAAAATTTATATATAGTAATTTTATATATATTTATAAAATTTAAGTTTTATAGCTTAATAATTAAGTTTTTAGATTTTTACGAATAAGGTTAACAGTTTAGATAAGCTAAAAACATAACTAAAATTTGGTTTTATAATCTTAAAAAACCAAATAACTAGTGATTATAGTCAATTATTTTTTATCAACTTGACTAAGCTGATATTTAAAATTTAACTTAGTCAACTATAATTGAGTTGATTATTCTAATTGGCTAATTTTAATACATGATATAATAAGTTAATATAATTGGCCAAATTGTTTACTAAATATTAATATTTTCATTTATTTAAAAAATATATAATTAATACCTTTATATTATAAAATTTAATACACTTTATATTTAACTATTGCTAACAATAATGAAAAATATCCAATTAACAAAATGTCAATCTATCTATATTTTAATCGAAAACATTACATTTTGTTAATGCTAAGTAGTTTTTTTTTCAAAGATTTTTTTTTTTTTTTTTAAATTCATAAAATGCTATAAAGGCATTCTTGTTGAAAATTTAATAATAGCTAATATATTTAATATAACTTGTGCATTTAAATAATGATCTTAAATAATTTGAAAAATTAAAGGTTTAAATTTATAAAATTAAAATTTGCTTTTTAATAATTGTATTAATATTACAGTATCATAAAAGCTAAAGATTCTTTATACTAAAATATAAAATAGAATGTGGTGACCTAGTGAAGTTAATAGGTTGTCAACACTCAAGTGACAGATCTAAGGTTTAATTCTCATAGATGATGAATTTTGAAAATTATACCTATGTTATAGTAACTGTCTTTTGTCAATCATTTGGGGTTTAGGCATCTGTAATCTTAGGTATACCAAGTCAGGCCCCATCTAATATTAGGAACTTAGAGCATCTATGTGAAGTGTAATATTATACATATATAGAGGAATATAAAAAACTAATGTTATATAAGGCTTTGATGCAAACCTATGATAAGACCACCAGGCATAGAAGGCTAAAAAACTGAGAAAACAGAAGTCCACTTGGAAATCCTAAGTAAAGAGATAGCACAAACTTTTGATGGTATTATCAAACTAATAGAAGCTCATAAAACACCTTTATAGGAACTGTTAGATAAACCAGATAACAAGATGTATAGAAAAGCATATAACCAACCAGGCCATCAGAATTATTAGAGAAAAAGAATACATAAGTATACCATACTGGGCCATCTGGATTAGAAGTCTGGGGAGTCAGTTAGTTCTAAGTTGTGGCTAGTAAAAGATGATGAAGAAAAAGTTAGAAAGATGGGTACTAGGATTTGGGTGAACTTTACAAGGATAATAGTGATTTAAGAAGTAACTCTAACTGCAAGTATTGGTCTTGGCCATAATGTCAAACCAGATTAGTGATAAAAAGGAATATAGCTTGCTTTGGTAGATTTACCTTAAGGATAAAAATAGTCTAAAGATTATAGTCCTATGGTTAAAAGTGAATAGATCTGAGTCTGTGATCCAGTAAAATTAATATCAAGGTCAGATCAGAGGATTTAAATAAAACATTTAAGCAGAGGTATTAGGTATGACAACTGGTGAAGAACCTTCGAGTAAACTCTTTAAATAGATAATATAGAAAAGTTATATGTATAGCTAGTTATACATTTATCTGATAGTTTATTATAGATATGTCTATATAAAATATGTACTTATTTAAGTATTAATAAAAAGCTATGACCAAAGAAGTCACCTTAATACTAAAAAAAAACTAAAATATAAAATAAAAAACATCAATAATTAATTTGGCAAATATATGAGTGCTACCAAAAAAAAACTATAATTCAAAATTTTAAATATGTTTTATTACTAGACACTATTTAATTTATTAGAGATTGTGTCTGATACAAAATATATTTGAAATTTTAAACTAAACTTTTTTATTGACAGTAAATAAAATAAATTAATATATTAATTTCTTACCTTGTTATAAACTAATATATACATTAATAATTAAAGAATTTTTTTTAAAAATAACAAATAATGAACCATATCTTTGCTTAAATAATTATACTTATTAGTTACTATGTTACTTGCATCAGAAAAAAAGTCTTTCTACAAGTACAGAAATAGCAGGTATACTTAAAAAAAATCAAACTTGTTCTGTAAGAAGAGGTAATGAATTTTTATGATTATTCTACTAGACTAACAGATTAAATTTTTCATAAAGTGGATCTTTTAAATCATATTTTAGTAATAGAGAAATTGAAAAATATATTTGTAATTTAGTATTGGCTAGAGAAATAGATAAAAATTTAGTATCATTATCAAAAAAAAAAGATATATCTGTTTTTGAATTTTGTCTAATATTTGACAAGTTTGCTTGTTGAGAAAAACTAATTCTATTACAAAATTCTTGCATTACTTCTTGTTGTATTATAAAGATGCAGCAAACAGAGTTTTAAAACAAAGATCAAGTGCTGTAGCTAACCATTTATCCATTTTTGGGTTATTCTATCAAGATGCTATTGATGAATAAAGACTTTAATATGTTTTAATAACAGATAGATATGTAATTTGATTTTTTATTTGATTCAAAATTTTAAAAAGATAATGTATAATTGGATATATCATGCCTAAAGTAAAGTATTAATTACCACTTATAAATACTAATGCATATGCAAAAGAATGTAGTAAACAATATAATTTTCCCAATCTATACTATTCTTTATTTGTAAGCATTGTTTTATTTATTTTATTACTATTAGCATAAACTGTTTGATCAGAGTTATTCATAAGATTTACAACTAGTTCAAAAATTGAATCTTGGAAATCTAAAAGTCTTTAAAAAACTAAATAGATAGAATTCTACTTAGTAGCAGTATCACTTGATATGAATCCAATACACAAGTAGGCTGGTTTATTAAATTTGTGGTCTCTTTTTTTTTATTTATTTCTTTTTGAATTTTGTAAAATCTAGATCTGTATTTATCACAGTTAACTAAAAAATTATTTAATGAATTTGTATATTCAACTAAATGCTTACTTTTTTTAAGACTATTAGGTACAACAAGATAAATTGTATAAGCTATACAACTAAGATAAGTAACACCTAGTTGTCTAATCATCTTTTTTATAGATAATGCATTATCTGTTATTACAGTATTAAGCTTACTAAATATTTCCTATTCTGAAAGAATTTTTCTTAAAAAATCCTCAATTCAATTTCCTATATGTAGATAAGCAAACATCTCAATTGTAATTAGAGCTTGGTACATTTTAAAGTTTTCTGAAAGCCAGTAAGCTGTTATACCAATATATGAAACATGATTTTGTATCTATAAATTAGTTGTAATACAAACAGAGGTCATTGTTTAATGCATCATTTCTTTTAATATAACACCTATATAAAATACTAACTCTATAATAAAATTTTTGATTGTATTTTTGCAAAAAACATCAAATTATAAATTAATTTTATAACAGAAATTATAAAAGTGATTATAGATAATACAATTCAAAGCCAACATGGTCTCAATTATCTAGATAACAAGTTAGTAAACAATACTATTTTGATTTTTTAGGAAGAGATAAACTGTTTTCTATTTGCTTTTAAATAATAGATTCAGTTGTTAGTTAAGAAACTGATACAGAATTTATAAATATAGTTGATGATGTTTCTTATTTTTGATTTTTTAAAGATTCTATATTCAGTATAAAGATATGCTGCAATACTAGAAATTAATGTATGAGATTTGAAAACTGTTTTATATTGTTCAAATATATTATTATTCTTATCTACATTTACTTTACAATGTTTTTTTTTTTTGTTATTTTATTCTAGCAAGTATATAGCTATACTCAGCTTTTAACTAGTCTTTTTTTTTGCTTGTAGTTTGGGCTTGCTAATTTTGTAGAAGTCTCACATAAAGAAAAATATAAGATAATAGATGAAGATTGAGCTGTAGTATTATTTTCATCTTCTGCAAGACTATCTTTACTAAAGCTACATTCTTCATTATTGTCTTCATTGTATAAATTATCAAATTCAAAATTTCTATATAATATATTTTCATCAATTATTAGGTTTTTAAACATTTTATTGTGAATATTATGAGATTGTAGATTATCATTATATATATTAATCAATCAGCAATATTATAACTTTTTGCATGTTTTAATGTATTAAAGGTACATATTTAAAAACAATTGATTATATATTTTTTAGGAATTTTTATTGTTGTAACAATAAAAATTCTTTAAAAACATATATATTCAAATATGCTAGCTATATATAAAGTATTTAAGCTTATGTGATTTTATAAATTTTTTATTGTTCAAACAATGAAAAATTTTTGAAATTGCATAAGCCTAGACACTCTAGCTTGCTATTTTTAAAATTTTGGTTCTTTAAAAAATACTGATTATCTAATTTGAAATGTAAAGCCAATACTAATAAAATAGCCTATTTAAACAGTATTTACTTTGAATAAGTTTAATTGATTTATAATACTAAATTATAGATAAAAAAATATGTATTTTTTTATAATAATTTAACTCTTTTTTTATTAATCATAGTGGGGCATGCACAAAATTATGCTTATAATGCATGAAACTTTTTGGCTTTGTATCGAATAGAAAAAAATATTACTTTTAATAATTATTGTATATAAATATGCATATTAGCTTACTTATATATAACATTTTAAGTCAGATACTGATGCTCTGGCTAATTTATTTTTAAAAGTAAATTTGAGATAATACAAAACTTTTATATATTATAAAATATTGACCAAAAAGAAAAAAAATAAATTCTCCACTGACTCAACCTTTATTCAAACTTGGCTCCAATATGCTCACTCAACCTGGAAACAACTCTTTCATGCTCACCATCTTGAAAACTCTCTTTTACTTCGACAACAAATTAACCAAGCTACTGACAAAAGATGTGTTAACCTTACAACACAT